TACCTTTTGTCACGTCCACTCTTCGCCAATGGCACAAAGAAGAGCTTGGCCTCTTCTCCAGTCTTGTTGATGGTGCACGAGCTCGGCTAGTGCGTATATATATCTCCCAATCGCATGGTCGCTAATAAACCCGCGAGCACAGAAGGACGGCGATCCCCCGTCGTTCGCTACGTATCTGATAGACCAGCTGCAAGGACTTGACTTATCAGACGCTAAGGTCTCCTATCTCGCAGGATCCATGTTCGGGGCACGCTCAGACACAGTGAGCGGCTGATATCCTGCTCGTACTCCGTCAGACTTTACTGACGGTAGTTGCTCATATGTAGAGCGCCAATACTATCGCATTTATGATCATGACGGCGGCTGTTCACCCCAAGGCTCAGGCAGAAGTCCAGGCACAGGCAGACAGCGTGATTGGCAGGGATAGGCGTAAGTGCTGAATCGATTTCGCTGTTGTGGTACTTATCGCCGCCCTCAGTGCCAACATTCGATGACGAGAGCCTTCTTCCACTCGTGACTGCGTTCATCTCGAAGTTTATCGATGGCGTCCGGTCAGTTATGGGGATACGCACTACGTAACCCGATGCTCCGTTCGGCTCTGATGGGTATGATTTTCTGCAGGCTTCGCCCATCGCGCCACAACTGATATACGACGGGTATGCCTCAGGAATACGGCGTCTGTTCGCGAGCTGACTCTTATCTCCCAGGGTGATTATGTGATCCCTGCAGGTGAAACTGTCATCGGAAATCATTGGTTCGTATCATTTTATGATCGTTCGGCTTGTGCTGAGACTTGTTCAAGGGACATCGCGCGCGACCCGGACGTCTTCCCAGACCCAGAGGAATTCATACCCAATAGGTGGTTCGACAAATCCGGCAAGCTCAAGGAAGACATTACCTCTTTCAATTTTGGCTTTGGCTGACGGTGCGCGGAGCTCGAGACTCCGCCAGACTTTGCGCTGACGCTTACTGTAACGCAGGGTATGTGTTGGGCAACATGTGGCAAACAAGTGAGCGCAAACGTTTTATGATTCAGTTGGACGCCGTTGACGTTTTAGTAGCTCCCTGTTCATGGACACGGCGCTCACCCTTTGGGCATTCGACATCAAAGAAGATCCCGCTCAGCCGATTGATACGATGGGCTTCACAGACACCGCAAAAGTGCACGTTCGGCCGTTCAAGGCAGGTTTCACCCCGCGAATCCCCAGGTTGAGGGAGGTCGTAGAGTCGTGCATGGACTGATATGGTCTTCAGATGAACGAGACCCGAACATGTATTCTACTCAGTATGTGCACCGAAAATATAGCCATCCGATTCACACTTGCAGAGTTGAGACAGCCGGGCTCGTCGCCGTCGGCAACCGCAAGCAATCATACCTGAGTTGCACATCTAGAGAACACACGGCGTTAGCAGTCGGCCGCAAGCAGCAACTGATCGACTCGTACGGGATCCGTATAACGACAACCAGATTGGAGATGGCGCCGCAGACGACCTTGCGGCAAGCTACCTCCTGCGAAATGCGCTGCCATACCTCTGGTGTGCTGAAGATTGAGGCCTTTGACTTACGATGCTCATGCTACGATATAGAACTTTCCGTCTGCCGCACTCACCAAAGTTTCTCATCTCTATGAAGGTCGAAGGTGGACAGAAATAAATATCTGGTGTTCGCAGAGCCGAATCTTGTTTTTGCAGCAGCCGACAGCTTATTTCACTGTGATATACCTAGTTTATTCGTATTTTTGTGAATCCACATGCATCTACACTCGACGTTGTGCGCAATACCGCAAATAAGTGTACAAAGATGCACCCAAGCCGCATTTCGTCCGCATCAAAACTCGTTCTCGCAGCCTGGAACTCGTTTTCGCGCGGCGCTTATCATTGATTTTTCCTGTTTGAGCTATCGTTATATCTAGATATGGAGAATCTGTGATGAGAACTAATGCACAAAGGTGCACAATTGTGCACATAAATATCATGCCCATGACTCTCAAACTCCCAGTTGTGTCTGTACCGGGGCACAGATTTGAACAAATGTGCACTTACTTGCATGATCACACACATCAGTGAGTATAGATGTGCATAGATTCACTAACACACGAATAAATTAGGTATATTACAGTGAAATAAACTGTCGGCCGCTGTAAAAACAAGATTCAGCGCTGCCAGCACAAGATATTTATTTTTGTCCACCTTCGACCTTCATACATCTCACTAAGAGAACGCTACAAGAAGAGCGATCTACCGGAAGCTGTGACTCACTCGTTCATCAAAGTATATCTTCTGCCGGTGCCGGTAGGAGTCGTCTTCGGGCGCTTCGTATATGGTAGTAAGGTCCAGTTTTTGTGCTCGCTATGTGTGTAATCCGTTCCCGTCCATTGATCGCCAGCTCATGCGATTTGCGCTGCTCTAGAAAGGTCTGGTCACCCAGAGGCAGGCGTGCACTGACTCTCATCTCCATCTTAATTCAACTTTTCGTTTCCGTCGTCCACGAGAGCGCTAGATCTGCATCATGACGCAGCACTTTCACAACGTGGTTTGTCCTTTGTCTGTCCTCACGGCACCGTTTGCTCCTGTCGGAAATTCGCCACACGCAAGGTGCGCACCGTCGGACTGACATTTGCGGTGCCCAAGTGTCCCGAACCTACTGAGGTGAGTAAATATATCATCCTCTCCGATCAAGAGGACGGGCACGATGCTGGTCCCAGCCTGCTCCAATGCAGATTTCACCCGCAGAAAGCGCAGTATAGTACACTATATGGTGCAGCAGAGCAGCTACGTTAGGCTGGATATATTTATTTTCTACTGTGTTACTTGTCTGCTGTATGGCAAACATGACGCCAACT